GCAAAGAACTGTTTGATAGAATGGTAGAATAAAATGATCATGTTTTGATAAAATGGTAGAACAGAATGATCTATGTTTTGATATGTTTTGTTAGAACGGTTTTGTTGTGTCATATATAAGAATATTTAAGAACTGCTAAATAAATGTTTAATATGATTGGAATTTTTTTATTTGATACTATTATAATTACCTTTTAAAAAAAAAAAAAAATATTTATTTTATGTTTAATTTTTCTTATTTTTTTTTTTCTTAAAATTTCTGTTTTTAATGTTCATATTTGTTTATATTTTTTAATTATATATGATAAATATAGTTAATGGTATGAATTTTATATTTTTCGTACTATTATATGAGAATATTTAAAACTTTATCAGTGATCTTTATCTTTCTATTTCTTTTAAAAAAAAAAGAATTCGTAAAGATTTATTTATTTTTTTTTTTTTGAACTAACATAATGCATTTCATTAATATTTTTGACTGATCTCGTGGCTCAGTGGCAACGTGCGCCACTGTTGAGAAAGAAAAAGCGGAGTTTCGATTCGATTGCGGTTTTGTTGTAGACACTGTTTCAAAAAACGAGGAGTCTCAATTGAGTTTGTGAAGTTCAGCATCTGGCCTCGTTTGTTGGATTACCTGGTGGGAGTTTCCGAATTTTCTGGCATACAATACCAAAATGCAGGGTTGTTCCCATTAAAAGTCGACCGGAAAACACTGCCCTACTTTCAACTGCGGGGGCCTGGTGGTCGAGTGGCTAGCGGTCTGGTGCTCGGTACCACAGGTTTCGGGTTCGAGTCCCGGCTGTTCCATGGATGTTTGTAGTGGTTCGATTTCACTTTAAGCTGTAGGTCCTGGTCTGTTTAGCCTAACGTGTGCACAAGATGACCGTAGAGCGACTAAACCAAACCTTTCATCTGCAGCATTGAGCCAAGTCAGACTTCTACCTACGGATGTTTTTTAACATCAGAAGCTGTCCCTTTTCCTCCTTCCATGAGTAGATCATTCCAATTAAAACTTCAAGAACAATTAACACTCCTCCAAGTATTTCAATTTAAAAACAATCATTTTCATGCAACTTAACGTATTAAATTAAAGTAACATTCTTAAAACAATGCTTACTCGGAGTAGTTTATGTAAACAAATATTCAATTTACGGCTATTAATATGATTTAAGCGTTGTTCATTAGGTTTCATAATTTTCACTCTTTAATATTTAATTAAGCCAAAGTAAATAATAAGTTTTTAATTAGCCAGAAAACTGCAACTACAAAAAGAGAATACAATATTTCAAACCAAATACATTAGCCAAGAGAAAATTAAAAAAAAATAAGTATAAAATCAATTTTGAGAGTATCTTTTCACCTTTAATTATAACAAAATTAGATATTATGTAGTTTAGATTTAATTAAAATACTTTAACATATTAAAAATAAAACTTTTAGAAATGTGGTTAAGAGACAACATTTATTGCAAAGAGTATTGAGATGATGATTATTTCTAATTTCTGATACTGTAGAATGGATGGCAAATATTTGCAATTGTTTATCTGTGTAAATAGAGGCTTCGTTATGTATTAATATTGCAACAATATGTAACACATATATATATATTACATTACTATATAATAATATTATAAAGTTCACTTGAAAAGTTAATCGTAGTGTGTAATTTTTCTTGAATGATTTCCATTCATTAAGAAAGACATAGAATAATATTTATTTTTCCTTTACTTAAGAATCTCTACAATTTTGAATATCAAGACCTTAGTTATTGATAAATTTTAAAATTAAATAAAATTATTATGATTAAAGCATCTGTAATTGCAGCTAAATGTTGTATTGTAATGTAGAATCCTACTTAAATGGAAATTTAATTTAAAAAAACATTCCTTTGTCCATTTATTGTTTTTCTACTGGATATATTGTTTTGTTGAGAATACTGCTTTAGATCATTTGCGAGATTTATCTGCCTTTTGAGTTTAGGCACCCACACCGAATATTATAATATTAAATGAATCATTCTGTAATGTTTACCGCTCAGTAAATCTCAATTTCATTTCTAATCTTAGAAAATAAAAAGTAGTTTATTCATTATTTTTAATTGAATAATTTGTTGGATGCTTACAGCAGGCGAAATTTACCAAAATTGTTGATATTAACAATTAATGCATAACAAATATTCTGTACGAAAAAAAAAAAAAAAAAAAAAAAAAATTACATTGATGTGTTATACACTATTTTATCGATATTAAAAAATTTTTAAAAAAAAATTTTTTTGTTCTAATGCAATTGGCAAACACTTAGACAGCTTGGTCTTGGATGCCTTAAGGTAAGCGCTGCACAGACGTTACTCACTTTGCATCACCTAGTAACTTGAATATAAGCCAAGGATGAGGAGTAACAAGCCCCGCAACGCTCTACGATCCTGTTAGGACTGGGACCTACGGTTTAAAGTGGATTCCGAGCCACTACAAACATCCATGGTACCGCCGGGATTTGAACCGAAACCTGTGGTACCGAGCGCATTCAGCCCCAATTTTTGAATATAACTTTAGACATTTTTTGAAAAATTTGCTTTTTATTTCTTTTCATACTTTTGATATACGAAATATGAGTAGGATTAAGACATGTACCCATTTCAGATAATTTATAAAACTTTTAACCGATTTTTTTAAACCTTTTAAAAAGGAAGCCAAGTAAGAAATATCGAGCTCTGAATATATGCAATTCTAAAGGAAAAAAATCACTAATTATTGTGCACAGAAACTATTTTAAAATTACTTGCTACTTCGACTGATAGATGGCTCTGCTATTCATTCAGTAAAACATAAGTTTTAATTAGTATACGAACTTATTCCGTCATTTACATTCCCATAAAATTGCATTAAAACTCGAACACTTCATCATCTTGGCCTGTAATTTCATAAAAAGGCTATTATGAAATTAAATGCCTTCGTAAACATTTAATTTCCCTGTAACTAAGCTAAAATAGTGGTATAGCTTTATATTATAATAAATAACATGTGACAGAATAATGTGATTGGTTAACTTTTTTAATAAAACCTAATTTGTTTTCCGATTTTCTACCAAAGTAGAAGAGAAAGTGATATATTTCTATACATTCACAATTATTCAGTTGTCTTCGAAGATCTAAAAATTCGAACGACAAATTAGTACAATAAAATGTTAAAAAATTTGTATTTTAAGAAGAAAAAAATATCAAGAACCAGGGTTTTAGTAATTTCTATAATTTTTCTGTTTTACGTAATTTTGTTATACAAGGAAATATACAGGTTACCCATGAAATTTAGAATTTAATGTAAGAACAAAATGCATAACAGCAATCTTAAATAAAGAAAACTTTAAAATTCCAAACGATTTTCTTTTCTTATTATCATTTATTTTAATCTTATTCAATTACTTTTATTAGCTCACACTCTCCCTATATATATCTTGTTCAATTTTTCAATCGTTCATAAAATACTTTTTATTCATCCACTACAAGTTCAAATATTATTTTTAACTTGTAATGGATGACACCAGATGTTAATACAGTTTTTTCAAATATTAATTCATTAACTAATTTTAATTAATTAATTTTTAGTTTTAGATTTATGTTGCATATATTTAAAATTGATGCATAACGAACTTAAAAAAATGAATGAAAACGAATCAAAAAGGATAAACTTAAATAACTTTTCTGCAATAGAAAATTAATTTATAAAATACTTTCTTTTAGACGAGTCACCACACCTTTTACAAAATTTATTTTTAATTAGTTAAAAATAAGTTATAAGACAATTTATTTAATATTTTATTAAACTTATATAATTATTACTTTTAACTTCAATTACAGCCGAAAAAAATTTATAGGGTGTCAGAAAGAAATTTAAATCTTATATTTAAATAAAGTAGCGACTGATAATGCGATCCTTCAAATCTCAGAGCGACTTTTAAAAGGCAAATTTGATATTTCCATATTTGAATTCAAAAAATTCGAAAGACAAATTCGAATAATAGTTATAATTTAAAAGAGAAATAATTATTTTTAGTAAATATTTTCTGTTTTGAAAAATTTGTTGTGAATTACCCTAAAATAATTATGAAAATTTATTAGTAATTGTCAACGGGGTTTCATTTGGAATAAAACGGATTTTCTGGTGGTCACACTCGACAATTGATCTTTTTTAAACAAATTTGCATATGAATTATTTAGTTAATTAAATAATGTTATAGTGTGAATTTAGAAATTTTAAATATTATATTTAAAAACCTAAGAGCTCATAAAGTGAAATTTAAATACAAAAACGAAAATACATTTAAATAAAAGGCCAAACAGGAAGGCATGGAACCCATGGATTGCCCTCTCGCCCTTTTGACAGATTATGCGATTGAAATAAAACGTAGCATCTGCACAAAATTCCCTTTTAATTTCTTATCATTTCATTGCAGAAATAATTGCTCCTTTGGATTTCCTTTCTCGTTTTCTGCTCTGAAAAATGCAACCGCAATTCAAGTATCTTTTTACAAGGAGTAGCAGCTGCGTAATTAGAATTGCACAATAAACTCTAATTTTAATCACGCTCTGCTCTGTACACACTGATTTTGAGAAAACTGTAAGAAAAGTACTTTGTGGGGATAATGGGGAAAAATTAAAAATTTACTTGATTTGAAACAGCAACTCTGAATTAATTTCGATTTAAAAGTGTTTGTTGTTTCTTATCCCACTTTGACTGGCCAAGCCCACGAGCCCATACGTACTCATGATTGAAAGGGAAGGAAGCAGTTTCTGTTGTGATGGAGCAAACGTAGGTATAAGTCTTACTTTGGCTCCGTGACGCTCTTACAGTCATAGAGATCGGGACCTACGGCTTAAAGTGGATTCCAAACCACTACAAACATCCATGGCAAAAACGCCGGGCCGAACCCAAACCTGTGGCACCGAGCGCCAGAGCGCTAGACACTCGGCCATTTAGGACCCAAATTTGTGAAATAATTGCCAACTGCACGCGGTGTTCATTGGTCACCCACCCAAGTACTGACCGCGCCCAATGATGTTTGACTTCGGTGATTTAACCAGAACCGGTATATTCAACATGGTAGGGCCGTTGGCTCTATTTAAAAAGTTCTCCGCCCATTGCACTGATTCAAAACAGACCAGAAAATAACTCTGATTATCTCTTCGTACGAATGGTTTAACTCAATTTTGATACAACTCCAGCCAACCTATTAAAGTCATCCCAACAAACTAATACAGAAAACTTTCAGTATTAGCCAAACAAAATTTGCATCTTCTATACTTCAGAGAAGATTTAAATTCAAAAAGAGTTTTCTCAATACTCACTTGCAGATGTTCCGCTTCAAAAAATTAATTTCAACAGCAGCCGAAATTTGCATATTCAATTAGTTGCAGTACTTATTGATTACGAAATCTCCCTAATGCCTCGTTATTAAAACAAACAGTTTTGACTTTCTAAAGAAAAACACATATCGGTTTCGATTTGTGCTTATGACTGTAAGTAACCACTAAAAGGAAGATTTAATTTTTGTGGTTTGGCAAAACGTACCAATGCAAATCTTTGAAATTGTGTTAATTTGGTACCATTAATTTCCGATGCTGTTTTATGACATACCATCTTATTTTTTAATGTGTTTTTCTTTAATTTTCCTTTTTCTGCTGTGTGAAACTTGTCGAACTCGAATATTTAGAAATAATAATGTTTGTTCCAATTTATGTTCAGCATAATTAAGGACATCTGAGTTATAAATAGCATTTATTAAATGATATAAATCTTACTCATGTTAATAAAAAAAAGTTTAGATTAAGTATTTAAATAAATCTTTATAGAAATGGAAACTCAACACTCATACACACATACATGAATGCATTTTTTTATAGAAAATTTTTATTAAAAATTGACAATTCATTTTAAACAGATAAAAGAAATAACAACATCTAATTTTCTTAAAATCATGATAAATAAATCTTATATTGTATATAGTATTTTAAATTAAATTTATATATTTATTTGTTTAAACTAAAATTTTAAAGAAAAAAATCTCTTTTGAGCTTTTTTTTACAATATGAAATTCCAAATACTATTTTAGATCAAACATTTATAGATACAATCAAGACTCATATCCCAGCAAGCCAGAAAGAGATATGTTTGTTTCCATGGTAACAGTATAATAAAGGCTGTAATTATTTGTATTAAATATATTTTATATGCTTATTCCATTATTTTGCATTATATGTAGATTGAATGCTATAAATGCAGAATTTTTTTCTAAATCCCATACCTTTTATGCAATTATTTCAAAACCTTCCTTTAGCTTGTTTTTTGATACATTTTCGGTGTACCAATTTCATATTAAATACCAAATATGACGTTTTAATAAGATCTCTTTGTAGCTCATATCTATTATTATAGGTTAAATTAGAGAATTCGATATCTATAAATTTGAATAATATTTTAGAAGTATTCTACCATGTTTACACACTTCAAGCTTCATTCATGAACCTATTGAGCATTTTATGGTGTGAGCAATGTCCAGAGAACATTATTGCTGTCTGTAATCACCAAATATTCAAATGAATATCATCAAACATGGCTCCTCGAAATTTACATATTTATCTTTAAAGGCAAATGAAGATATTTAGGTTGGTTTAGGGTGCCAATACCTATCGTAAATATAGGAATCTATCTGTTTGGCTACTAGACTATTTTTCAATTTTATATAATAGCCAATTTAAAATGAATTCAATATCTCGAATCGGTACTTACGTATTAACGCTACCTTGCCTACAGATTTGGCGGTATTTTAAGTGGCGCCAATCTAACAGCTACAGATTTGCTGATTTTTTACGCCATTTTTTAGTGCTACGAAAATGCCTGTCGGCCTGTTTTCCACTGAAATCTGTTTGACTGGTTTGTGTTTAAATAAAGTGTTTTGAATTTTGAAAGCGTTTTGATTTTAAATGAAGTGTTTTATATATTTTATTATTTGGAACAAAAATGTTAAGTGTATATTGGCGCGACTTAAAACCGCCAAATCTATAGCTACGGTTGGCGTTCAAAAGATAACTGCATGCGCGTGCGAACAAGATTGCTCTTTATTGGCGCAACTGTAGCCAAGGCAGTGTTAATACGTAAGTACCCCCAAATCATTAACTGCTCAGTCACCTGGTCCTGATTTCAAAAAGGTATGTGTCATTTAATTAAATAATAAGTCCATTTATTTTATTTAAACAATTTTTCATTTGAAAAGAAAAAAAGGAGAAAGGTAGTATTTAAAATTTTCTAATCACAACGAGTAAAGTTATTATAAAAGAAAAGGGATCTGACCTTAACCATTAAGAATTTTTATTAGTTCTTGAATGACAGATGGTTAAATAAAAACAAAATATACTCATTTCCATAGAACCAATAGCTTATTTCAAATAATTTTAGTAAGGCCCTTAAAAATAATCTAAATTTTAATAACTGCAGAATGTCAGTTTAAAAAAGATTAGTAAAGAAAACAAAGCTTTAAGAACGATTTTATCCAATTAAAATACACAAATTGCTGTCTTTGTGAATCTAAAAATAAAACTTTATTCTTTGAGAAGACGATATATTTATATGTATTTCCCTATTAAAAGAGAAGGTCATTTATTATGTGCTACTTCATTATATGATACGATTTTCAACAAAAATACGATATAAAAAATAGTAGCTGTAAAATTAATCAAAATGTCAACTCCATCCGCTTATTGTTTGGAAAACACAAATACATCGTACATTTTTCTTTTCAATAACAACTTTACTTCCATCAGCAAATAAAATGTCATTATTTGGAATTGTAAAAAATTATTGATTAAAAAAATAAATTGTTGACTTGCTGACGTTCTTAATTTTAATATTTTTTATAAAGTTAATTCTCAATTTTTTGATGTTCTATTCATTGTCATCTAGATCAAATATTAATATTCTATTTAATTTGCAGAATGACTGTTGCTCAGAATATTTCCTTTTGGGAACAGCCTTTTAGGTGTTTAAATTACCTTCATCTAGTGATTTATTTAAGGTCTTTCTGGGTCTCTGACTTAATACGTAGTGTGTACCCATGAAGAGATAGTGCGCTTTTTTTTTAAGTATTGTAGATTTGCGTTTATTTATTTGAGGAAACACATAAAATTATTATACAGAAATTTGACGATGTAAGATTCTCTGTCATATTCACTTGTTCATTACGGCCTTCTGGATCTCTGATCAGATACATCATGCATACCCTTGAAGAGATAGTGCCTCTTTGAAAGTTGCTTTATTGCCTTTGCTTATTGGGGGAAAAAATGAAATTATTATTCAGAAATATTTTATTGTAAGACTCTATGTCACATTTAAATGTGCAGGAATTATTATTTATTAAGTTTCTATTTAAAAGAGTTAGAAGAAAAAATTTTTTAATGCGTAAAGCCCCATAGTATTTTGAACAGAAACATGTTCCTCGTAACAAAAGAACTATTCATTAAAATTCATAACAAAACACTTATTTATGTCAGTACCAAACTTCATCATCTTTAAGTAAAGGTCTCAGATTTAAGCCTTTTTTCACTGGAAATGGAATAACTACACATTTATTTGTGTACATTATTGAATAAAACTGAATGTTACTTTTTATTTATTGAAATGAAGACATAGAGTTTTCTATATTTTATTAAAAGCTGGAAGTATTTATATTGTGATAATTTGAAGTTTTGAAGGGGCTCAAAATTGAAAATATAATGGATGATTTTTGTTTCTAATTTCTGTAGAAATATTAATTTTTCAGTTCATATTTAACAAAAATTGCGGCTCACTTTCTACAAATATACATGGATAATTATCAGTAGTTAGTATTCAAATGGATGAGTTGAAAATATTGGAATAAGATAACAAATTAAAATAACTAAAAACATTTACTGCAAAATATATTTTAATATCAAAAATATCTCTGCCATACATTGTTTAAATTAAAAATATTTTTCGACTTAGTAAACGATATTATTACTATCTAAAAAGAGTTTCGGAAATGATGTTACAGCACTTGTGAATGGCAGAGAAGAAAAATTGTTAAACGAACCTCTGTTCTTCTATCACATGATATGCATAAACATGATGTCAATAATTCCTTCGAATATCCGTGTTTGTGAAATCATTGACTAGCTAAAAATCGAAGTTTTGTTCATTTACTCTCTAATTGCTTTCTTGCCTCCTTGTTGTAAATTAGTAAATGTTCCACATTGAAAATTAAAGCATAATAAGCATGCCAATTATTAATGCAAAATGAATAACATTAAATTAGTATCATGATAATACCCAGCTAGTTTTCTCCTTATCTCTCGTAAACAGAACATCAAACAAATATTAGTCATAATTTTTCACCAACTACCGAATAATATCTTTGCATCTCTCACTAGGAAACAAATTTGCTTTATGAACCGCAACCATTACCAGTTAAATATTAAATAATTAAGGGCTTTAAGAAGGAATTGGAGAACTCGAAATCAGTAACATTTTCCCTCAACGTTTAAGTTAAAATTGTACCGAGATTGCTTTTCACCTGATAGTATAATTATAAACAGGTCTGATGTAAATCCTACGTACCAGGTTGTTATTTTTGAACACTTGTTTTGTGATGAATATCTTTTCTCTAGAATTTACAAGAACATGTCTGAAAGTCAGTTCAAAGAGAGGAAGGGATTGTTCATCCTAGGACAAAATTTCGGTCCAATTTGAAGGTGAATACGAATAAATAATTGTGTCCTTGGAAGATGAATATGAAATATCTCGCAGAATATACCGTATAATTAACAAAATGTATCACTTTAAGTGGAACTGAGACACATTTCAGAGTTATAATTACGAGCTCGCCGATCTTGTTTATGATTTCTAGGAAGTTATTCGGAGATTCTTCAAATTTATCTCGACGATTGTGTCTTCAGGGAATTTGGATAAAGTTACGGAATATCTAAAGCATTTGAATGTATAGAATCCCTTTATTGAAAATTTGTACATATTGCGGAATATGAGGTGTAGTTAACGAAATCTATCACTTTAAGTGGAACTAAGACGCATTTCGGAGTTATAA